TCCTTTCTAGCGTTCTATATCTGTCTGAAGTGTGTGTGTCACGTTTCTGGGGTGAGCAGTACTATTGACCCCTAACTCGACCTCTTCATGGGCACCCCCTTCCAAGTTATAGGCCCAGATCACAGCACCTCTGGTTACCACCTGTGTGTCTTAAGCAGGTCCAGCTGGGTTTTGGCCACTGGTCTAGACCTCCCTCCAAGAGCTGTGGACAGGTGTGAGAATGCAGACAGGGCAGCTTGTTCAAATCAATGTATTTATTTATCCATAGGAATGTACCGGTCAGAGGGAAAGGGTCAAAACAACATAAGGCTTCTGTGGATGTTATCTTATCTAAACCTTAGTCTTTCCTTGCCAGGTGCGGATCCCCCCCCCCCCCCCCAGCATTGGGGCTGCACCCCTGCGGCTTATGCCTTTATCTCAGTCTGTCCCCCAGTCAGTCTCTCCCCCTCTGAGTTCACAGGCAGTCTTGTTCAAAGCTTCTTTGTCTGCCCTGGGAACCCTGGACCTAGTCAGTGTGGTTTATGTATCTCACCAGGGGTCAGAGGTAGGCTTCCAGCAACAGATTCACTGTATTGTTCATTAAGCATGAGCAATTGAGTTAGTCATTGTCTGCCTTCCTGGAGATGTGTAAAAGCCACTTAGGATGGAGTTAACTCTGCCCCCATGCAGCAGGCCACATGGTAGCTTGTACCCCTATACAATTACTATTTATAAGAAATACAGATATCTCCCACGTTCTTCATGAAACAATACAGAGAAAATAGCTGCTAGGACTAGCAGGGCTCCAATCAAACAATGAGCCTCCTGGGCAGAAAGAGGCTGGTGGAGGTGGGAGCAGCTTTGAAACGGCTAAAAGCTCAAGGAGAAACATCATAAGATGCTCATAGTGGATATTTACCAGACTTCATCAAAAGATTGTGTTTGTAGAACTTCTTCCCTGCTTGGAGGCCTTCCAGTGGGGGTCTTGATCACAGAAACATTCAGTTGTGGATGACTGGGGGGTGTGGGGGGGTGAGATCAGAAATGGATGAGGGTTAGCCTTCATCCTTGTCTGTCTGTCTTGTCACTTTTAAATGGCATGGTTACCTTGAAGCCAGTCTTTGAAGACCGTGTCACAGGTCTGTTACGTGGAGAGCAGGAGTACTTGCCGTTTTGTTAGCGTAGACACCATGAACCGAAATGTGTTAGAAAAGTTAGAATGCTCTACAGCACACAACCGCCTCCTCTACCCTTTCGTTTGGTAACTGACCATTAGTCTGAGGACCCGGGTCTCTAGTGCCTCAGCACATCACCTTTGAAACCAGTTGTTTTTTAAATTTAAAGTGTGCCTGCTTAGTCTTTCCCACCCCTCTGCATTACTCCTCCTTAGACTGCTGCTGTTTAGCAGTGTAATTACTAAAAATCTGCACCGTGGTCTATGAGATTATGAATGGGAGGGGGAGCACAATGTTTAGGAGGTGTAAGTGTTTTTGAACAGGTGGATTAAAGTTCCATCAATGGCTCTATCTATCGCTGTTAGGCTCTGTTGATGTCTTCCAGCTCTTCTGTTCTGGCTGTGGCAAGCTTACCTAATTACACAGAACTGGCTTTCTTTAGAGAGCAGGAGAAGCTCCACTCTTCATTGAGCTAGTTGTATTGAACACTCCGGTAGGATAGTAGACAACTTCATATTCTTTTAATGATTTAACCGGTGGACTGTGTGAATTTTTATGCTCCTGTCAGCACCTTTGTTCTCCAACTCCCTGATCATCTCATGATGTTTAAGTTTATCAAGTATGGCAATGAATACTGAATCTTAAGAGTTTATTTAAAGCCGCACAGTATTTGTGTTCAACCTGCTTAAATCGGTCGTGGCAAGCTGTGCAAGATTATGTAGTGCCTGGGGAGTTAGTCTGACCTGCCTGTAGTCTGGGTAGCCTCTTGTAATGTGAGGCTATACTTGTACTGGCTGGCTTGCTCTCTCTAGTGACGGCGGCCATCTGGTGTGGCTTCTTTATTCAGCTTTGCTCCAAATAATGTTGTTTGGAAACCTGGTATAGCATCTTGAGTTAGGAAATATTACCAAACAATCTTGGTTTGTGCCAGATACTTCTGGAGTCCTGGATTCAATGAACTGAGTAGTTGATGCTGGAAAAACTAACAACCAAACCCTCACAACTTGCTCAGTACACTTTTTGAGTGGAGTTGTATGTACTATTCAGTGACCGCAATTCATGCACACTTTTCCCTCCTGAACGAAATCATGTGCAGTATATATATAGTACATATTGATGTAGGTAGCTGTTTCCTGTGTTGTGGGGTTTTACTTAACTCTTGGCTTTAATTCTTCCTGCACTTTGGCCCTTGAACCTCTGCTGTTCTTGCAAGATCAGGGTCAGATGCAGAGATCCTCAACTCTCCTTGACATCCACTTACAGTAGCTCCCACTGAAGGGCTTGGTCACCTCCCCCCTTGCCCCTTTGTATCTTCCTGGCCATTGAGCCTTATTCTTGTTGGCCCATCAGTGTCTTGGGTCAGTGGTGTTTCATAAGCCAAGAGGCTGTGGGTGTTTGGCTCTGACATAGACTATCTCACCACCGTACTTGGCCTACACACTATTGCCAGTTTCTGTGAATAGCTTTGTGCCATCCAGAGACGTATGAATGTTGAAACTAAATGAAGTATAAGCAATGATTTTGCACTTCTCTAGGATTCTCTCAGATGAGGGAAGCTACAGAGCATTTTTCATAGATTCCACGCTCTTTATAAGTAACAGGGCTGGAAAGTGAAAACTGTAAATCTCCTAGAATATTCTAACTAAAACTGTAGGGAGAACTTGAAATAGGTGAAGTGCTACGACCCAAAATGGAATTTGAACAAATGCTCTTGTTTTGTGAAATTGCTGTGGGATTTCTAATGACAAGGTGTCAGGATTTGACTTCATCTTTTGGAAGACTGGGCACTTCCCCCAGCAGTCTTTTAACACCGTGTTGAAAATTTCCTCATCTATGGCATAGTTAGCATCACTTCTACAGCATCCTGAGAATGACTTGGTAGTCTTTCATCCAACTAGTGTAGTGACAAAACCTTGTTTAGCTTGATAGCACCCTGAGCTTACCTACCTGACCAAAAGGTCAAGGCGATAGAAGCTTAAGTGACCCTTATTTTCACAATTTTGAATTTTCTTAGGTCTAGCCCATTATACTTCCTCAGTGGATCAGGCACGTCAGGCACATTCAAACAATTTTGAATGAAAATGGAATGGGCAAGGAGTTTATTTTGTTTGACCAGGAACAGTACAACATTTGTTTCTGCTGAAGAATTATAGGTCACTGCCTTGTTGCTATTTCCAGCTAGAAGGTGCCTTTCTGACCAGAGTGACTGGCCTGGCCTAACAGTGTGAATCCTTTCATTTTGTAAGTTAGGGTTGCCATAGTGTAAAGCTGAGACATTAAATAAAGTCCATGCCAGAAAAGGCCGAGCTACTGATATACCTCTGGAGCTCAAATAGTACAGTATCTCATTGCCCAAATTAAGAGACTTGACTCTGCGTTTGCCCTCATCTGTATTTCCTGAGTTAGGATCTCAGTTTTCACAAACTGTGGCAGCAGTACAGGTTGCGCTGCCTGCCAGCCATTGCCTTAAAAGGGAAATGTGCCTATTCACACAATGAGGGGCTGAATTCCTTCCCAGTGCTGATCTGGAAGCGGGGGGTGGGGAATGCAAAGAAGTCGAACTGGATGAGGCTGCTGGTTCCCTTTTCTGTTTTCCATACAGCTTTGGCCTGGTCCCCACTAAGCCCCCACTTCGGACTAAGGTACGCAAATTCAGCTACGTTAATAACGTAGCTGAATTCGAAGTACCTTAGTCCGAACTTACCGCAGGTCCAGACGCGGCAGGGAGGCTCCCCCATCGATGCCGCGTACTCCTCTCGCCGAGCTGGAGTACCGGCGTCGACAGTGAGCACTTCCGGGATCGATTTATCGTGTCTAAACCAGACGCAATAAATCGATCCCAGAACATCAATTGCTTGCTGCCGGACCCTCTGGTAAGTGTAGACGTACCCTTTGTATTGCATTAATTATCAAAAAAGTAATTAAGGATGAAAACTGGAATACTTCCTGGTGGGAATGCCTTCTCCAAGAGTAGCATTCTATAGCCGTGTGGTGAGCATTTCTGGGACTGAATCCTGGACATCTGGATCTAAAACGCAAACCTCTACTGCTTGAGCTGAAGAAGTGGGTCTATGAAGTTGGAGACATTAGCCATCTAATGAACCCCTGTATGTGGACCAGCCACTAGAGGGGGACTAAAACCCACACTGAGTTTATGCTTGCTTGCCACACAGCATATCCTTAACTGGCTTATATTGGGTGCAATAGCTATCCATATAGTAACATTGAATAACACCTTTCTCTGATGAATTATGATGACAAGTCTCTTAGCTCTGCTTTTCTTATCCCTCCCCCAACACACACTTCTCTCTTCGGTGTACCTCCACTTTTAGCTTGTTCCAAAACGCCATGTGAATTTGCCCTTGACTATTTTAATGCAGTCCTGGGTGCAGTTTGGTTTTCTTCTTTCTGCAGTATTCTGAATGAGCTATTTTAACTTACCATGGAGCTTGTGTTTGGCCTCACTCACCACCAGTTAGAGTACCCTGGTTTGTTTGGTTTTTTGGTGTGACTTTGTACCATATGGTTACCCGTAGGATTTGGAGATGGTATCTGTGCATGGCTAGTTTATGAATATTAACGTGCTCAGAAGCATTTAAAATATTTTTATTGGAGTTACCCTACCACAATGCACTTAACTAACATGCACATTGCTTACAGAAACACTTTTCAGTATCAGGTATCAGAGGGGTAGCCGTGTTAGTCTGAATCTGTAAAAAGCAACAGAGGGTCCTGTGGCACCTTTAAGACTAACAGAAGTATTGCGAGCATAAGCGGTCGTGGGTATGAACCTCACTTCTTCAGATGCAAGAAGTGAGGTTCTTACCCACGAAAGCTTATGCTCCCAATACTTCTGTTAGTCTTAAAGGTGCCACAGGACCCTCTGTTACTTTTCAGTATGTTACTTTTAACCCATGCGAAAGGTGTCTGGCATTTTTAAAATGCCCCAGTTGCCATTACATGGGCACCAACCCAGTATTTCATGCCTACACGTGATGGCTCCCACTGAGTCTGAAATCCAAGTGTGGATGGGCCCAAAAAGGGAAGCGAGCGACACTAAAGCCTGGGTGAAAATCAGGACCTAAGTGCTCCCATTGAGCGCTGGTGAGGCAGAATATAAGTAAAGACCTTTATGTAACTTTTGGTTTAAATCCCTGTTATGACTCCAGGTGTAAATTCTTGATAGAAACTCACAAGTTACTCATACATTTGCATATGTATTTATCATGGCCAGAATTTTTTTTTTAAACACCACTTATTGGGAGTGGCTTATAGTACAGTTTATATTCTGTGCTGCAATTTTACCTTTGCAAATAGGTCTTTGTCACACACACACAGATTAGGTTATGACTGTGCTAAAGCTTCTAGTAAGAAGCTTTCATTCTCGTGCGAGTTCAAAGCCACCTAAACTCTTGTTCTGTGTTCCATAGAGTCAGTCAGAAATTCTCTAATTCCCCCCGCCAGCTCTATCATTCTAATGTGGTTTTTTTGTTCTCCAATTTGTCAAGAAACTTGTGTGTGCCAGGAATATTCAGCATTGATTTTTTTTTTCCCCTGTGAAGACTGCAGGATTACAGAGTAACCTTTATTTTTAGGCTCTTGCTTAATCATATATGGGCAGTTGATTGACCTGCCTTCCCACCTCCAAAGGCTGCCACTCTTAATCTCCACCATAGACTTGCATCTGAATGCAAACCAGCTTGCCTTCTCTTTGCAGGAAAGTTGCCCTTAATTAGTTTTTCAATGAGTCGTGGTCCGATTTACTCTCCCCCTCAAGGAGAGCTGCATTAGTGAGGCGGTGGGTGGAGTTGCTGAGAAGATACAATCAACATCAGCCAAGTATTGATTAGCGGAGCCATTCATAGACCTATGAAGAGAGAGTTGGTTTTTGATGGGCAAGGCTTTCTTTTTGGCAGGCAGGCACCTGCTAACAGATTGTGCTATGCTCCCTGGCTGCAGAATTTTCAATTTCAGTAAACACTTGGCTTCAGCAAGTTCCTCCTCCTGCCGGGAGATTCTGCTTGTCTACGCTACCAAGATTTCGTTGTAAGAAAGGGGCAGCAGGAAGAGTGTTGTGCAAAGCAGTTGACACGGAGAACAACCTGCTACAATAAATGGTAAATCTTCTGGGTCACGGAGTTACAGTTAGCTTGGAAAAATGGCATTCCTTCACTATGGCGTCACTGCACATTGTCCTCTAGAGAGGAAGCAAACAATGCGCTGTAGAACAAGCTGTTGGCAGCTCACGTTTTAATGCATGAGTTTTTCCAGGTCTCATGTGCTGGTTCACTTTTTCCTTCTAGGTTTCAATTTTGAAGGTGGCTGTTGTTACTGTCCAAATGTGAATGCAGTGCTAATCGTGTCTGCTGCAAGGACAAGGAGCGAAAGAACAACCTAGTACAGATTGGAGATACTCCATAGTAGCGTTGTTTTGGCTAATTTGCTGTCTTATCTGTATGTGGTGTTAACAGAGGACAATTTCCACAGAGTTCTAAGGCAGCCTGGCAGTATGTGTTTGTACTTTTTAAAATCCAGTATGTCACTCAGCTTGGAAAGCTAGCATCGTTTTCTGGCAGTCTTGACGATTTTACTGCTTCAACATTTTAATTTCAGCCTTGAAAACCCATACCTCTGTGCAGTGCCATTAGGCAGAAAGCATAACGGAGCGGGTGTGTTGCTTGCAAAGGTCTTTGAAGATGTAAAGCATGCTAAGTGTTGTTGCAGCCACAGGTAGAATCAATCCTTGTAAGTACACCTGACTAGCTTTTCAAGCACGTGGATGGTTGGTGGTGGTGATGTATCCTAGCACTGCCCAGAGACCCTGATCAGGTTCATAGCGCCGTTATTTTGAGTCGTGTTCCTACACCTAATGTAGGAAGAGACCCTTCCCTGACTAGGCTGTGTTCTAACAGTATCGTTTGTTTGTCTGTTTTGTTTCCCCAGTTTCTAGGTGACAGAGAGACACTGAAACGCTGTGGGGGGCAAGAAAAGCGGTTGCGGGAGCCTGCATGTAAACAAAGATGGATTGGCTGTGACAGTGTGCCTTAGGTGGGGAGATCGGTATTATGAAGACTTCCTACAGAGCTGGCCTCCACAGGGAACCACTGAATTCCACATCTTCTACATTCCATCAAGTCAAACGGTACAAACAGACCCCAGTTGGGCCATGAATGGTTAACACATGTAGGCCTACTCCTTAATTCCCTGCTTTGTGTGCCAGTCAAACTCTTAGATAAAACCCTTGCTTTGGAGAACCTTTGCCTTTAAGTGAAATATTAACAGTAGTTCTAATGACTATGGGGCACAATTGTTCCTTAATATTTTTTAAATTAGATAACGGCAGCTACATCGTTACTGCTGCTCGTGTCCTCGGAGAAGCCTTTGGATTTTTTTTTTTGTAGCAACAGCTGTAACTTTATGGGAATATGGCTTTGAAATACAAATATAATTGGAGAGTGGATTGCTGTAGTAGGATTTGAAATATGCAGTGAGCTTAAAAAAAGCTAGCAGAAATACCAGTAATCAGTAGGGTGGTCCGTCTGCCTAGAGAGTAAATAATTAGATTAGTACAAACTTAAATTTTGCTTCCAGCGGACACCTGTTTCTCTGATTAAATTGTTGTGCCCTTCTTTTTCAAACGTTACTGCTTACAAGGCAATTGAGAGCATCTGTGTTGCTATTGCAAGACTGAGAACAATTCATATGGATGCATTAAAGAAAATGCAAATGACAAAATACAGTGCTGAATTCAAGCTTAATAATATAAAATGTGTTTCTCCTTTTTAAAGATGTTGAAAACTTCCGGACTCTGGGGGGGAAATAGCTTTCAGCTTCTCATACCTGTGTGCATGTGAAACAAACAAATTCTGTGTAATATCTTTCTTGACTGGGTGGAGGGGACAGACGCTTCATCAGCCTGTTATTGACCTACAGCCAAATCTTGCAGTCTAACTAGGGCAAAACTCCCACTGACTCCCTGGGGGGGCTGTTGTCTCTGTGGCGATCAGTAAGAATGCATTGTATCCAGCCCTGCTTGCTCCCACCCCGTGTCACTCTCCATACACCGGGGGAAGGGTAGTGGGTGGTATAGAGCCAGATATGCTGACTTTATGCCACCCAGAGATTGCCCTATGCCACAGGGTTCTTTGACATGCCCTGTAGAGCAGCTTTTGGGTTGCTTTGCCGTGCCTGAGCAGTGCAAAGGGGACAGAAGCAGGGCTGAGAATCTGGGCCAAATGATTTTGGGGGCTGTGACGGGTTGGATCACAGAAACCCCCTTGGGAGCTGCCACCCGATGTGCAAAGACTACCCCTGCTTCTGTTTTCCCTGCCAGCTCAGGACTCCAGCACCCTGTCTTGCTGAGCCAGACACTCCTGTTTGGCTCCAGACACAGATCCAGGGTCTGAATCACTTGTCCCCAAAGCTGCAAGTTTACCTGAAAACAGCGCACAGTAGTGTGCTTGTCTTTAGCACTCAGATGCCCAACTCCCAATGGGGTCTAAACCCAGATAAATCTGTTTTACCCTGCATAAAGCTTATGCAGGGCAAACTCATAAATTGTTCGCCCTCTATAACACTGATAGAGAGGTATGCACAGTTGTTTGCTCCCTCGGGTATTAATACATACTCCGAGTAAATTACTAAATAGAAAGTGATTTTATTAAATACAGACAGTAGGATTTAAGTGGTTCAAAGTAGTAACAGACAGAACAAAGTAAGTCACCAAGCACAATAAAATAAAATGCGCAAATCTATGCCTAATCAAACTAAATACAGATAATCTCACCCTCAGAGATGTTTCAGTAAGTTTTTCTCAGACTGGACACCTTCCAGGCCTGGGCACAATTCTTTCCCCTGGTACAGCTCTTGTTGCAGCTCAGGTGGTAGCTAGGGGATTCTTCATGATGGCTTCTCCTTTTCTCTGTTCTCTTCCCCCCCTTTATATATCTTTTGCATAAGGCGGGAACTCTTTGTCTCTCTGGGTTTCCACCCGCCCCCCCTCACTGGAAAAGCACCAGG